CGATTTCTGCGTCCGCATCGGGGCGGGCCGCATCCCCAGCTGGATCACCCGTCTCGCGCGGCTAGGAGCGCGGGTGGACAGCGCTTTACGGCGGATCACGAAGCAGGTGGGATGTTGTTGGAGGTGATCTCGGCTTTAGGTGGCCCCAGCTCTTCCAGAGGCGCCCAGACGGCCTCCATAGCACCCCTGACGAGGCCTAGAGGGCCCCAGGGGCTCCAGAATGGCGCGAGGGGCTGGGGGCGCCTTGGGCCAGGATCACATGCGGCTGCATCCGGGCAGGGGCTTATGTTGGAGGACCTAGAGGCCGACTGCGTGTCCGACGAGCGAGACACGTGAGCTTGTTTGTTTGTCATGTGCGGGAGGGGTTCGCCAGAGCCCGTGCTTTGCGTGCGTGGAAGGAGGAGGAGGAGGAGGAGAAGAAGGAGGAGGAGGAGGAGGAGGAGGAGGAGGAGCAGGAGGCGCAGGAGGAGCAGGAAGAGCAGGAGAAGCAGAAGGAAGAGGAGGGGGAGAAAGGGAAGGAGGAGGAGGGAAGAGGAGGAGGTGGAGGAGGAGAGCGATGTAGGGCTAGCGTGCATCTTTTCTTTGCTGCGCGCACCGGTTTAGAAATATGCAAATGTCGATGGCATCTGACACACACTTTCTGTCTGTCGGAGTGCGCTGTCTCGTACTGGGAACAACGTAGTCTTTAGATTGCATGTCGGTAGCAGAATTTGATCCGTCCGGTGTTTGCCGGTACGGCTAGACTGCATGAAAACCGTTCGCCCGTATCATTTTTGTTATTCACGTGGTGGTGTTGCCAGCCCCACCACTGCCGTGTCGCTCCGACAAGAGGGAGCAGCAGCCACAATGATGTTGGAATACCACGTAGGCGTGTGGTTCGTTGCGAAAAATGTTGCGTGGTATGCTCAACAGGTTGAGGATATGATCGACCAGGTGTGATCGTGCAGCGTTGGCTTAACATTCGGCACGTGCCTCTCTTCGGTTTTTTCGCTCGCCTGGAAGAGTGGGTACCTTCTTGTTCATCCTAATCCCTCTTCGTCTTCCGTGTCTTCCACTTATCATTTCTCCTCCCAATCGTATATATTGTTGATACTTCATTATCTCCATTTATTGTCATTGTCTCCCTTACTAGCATGAAGGATTGGCGATCGGGTAAATGTAAAATACAGCGACGACGACGAAGACGACGACGACTAGGATTCAACATTGTTATGTGTGTTTTGAGTCGTTAACCTACGTCTCGTCTATGCTCATATCGCGTTCCTTATATTACAGAGCAAGTGTTTGCTCCGTTCCCTATCGTTCTGAATCCTTCTAAGTTTTTCTGCTGCGCCATTGACCGTCCACACTGGCCAGTTCCACGGTAAGGCTCGACTTGGGCATTCACAATGAACCCGCAGTGCAAGAGACGACGACGATGGTTGATGGAATGTTCCGCGATTGGTCTCCGAAAAGAGCCTTGGCGACACCGTGAATTGGTCTCAGAACATGTGGGAGCCAGAATTGGAGGAGGCCCGTCTGCCTGGGATGGGACCAACAACGGAAAGAGGGGGCATGTGAAAAACGGGGAAACCATCATGGGAGGCAAGAAGCAAATTCGCAAGATGGTCGAAGTTTGCGGGCAGCTTGCAGTGGGAGCGCGCGTATTCGATGAGGCACCAAGAATGAAAGATGGACGACGATATCAGAAGCCACCCAGTCGCGCGGGCGGACGAGTTGCGGATGAGCTGATCCCACTTCGTGCCGACCACGGCGCCGCTTTGTTTTTTACCAGTCCACCCCAAGCAGGCACTGGCTACCCGTACCAGCATTTGAACTCGTGTTGTGCGCAGCAGCGTTGATCTCCTCCAGCTGATCACGATGAGCTCGCCGAGCGACTTCACAGTATGCCAAGGTACGTCAAACAACGCCTCTAGCAGCATCCAGGTGCACTTGCACGACCACGTCCACCGAAGGCGACAAGATGGTTCTTGTTCCCTTGTAAGCTCGACCACTAAGGCGCTTAAACGAATTCAACTCGTGGTGGAGCTTTGGGAGGCTTGCCATATTGTTGTTATGCCCCGTATTGCAGTCAAAGCGTCGCCTCAGCCGTTGCCGTTGCTAAATCCACTTCTCTGTTCCGCCCTCAACAACCTGTGCGGCAACGGCGGGTTGCCGCCGTCTTTCGTTGAGTGATTCCTGAAGGCAGATGTTGGCGGCGAGTTCGTCATCGTCTGCATCGCGGAGTCTCTTCTTCCATCTGCGTGCCAGAGCTATTTGGCTTTCTGGGCCCAATTGTTCTGCGATGGAGCGTTTTGGCAAGCCGTTGGCACTTATTGCGGTCATGCCGCGGGCTGCTTAGACACTTGTCCAAGGCCCACACCCAAGGAGCAGGGAAGTGTCCCCGCCAACGTGCTACACTGCACGGCCATTGTCAAGACCGTCTGTCAGCCATCACCCCAAAAACACCATCCACCCAGCGAGGCAGCAGTGCCGAGAGCGCTTAACAAGCGAGTTGAGCATAGTCGCGCCACAAGTTTGACCAGAAGACCTGCTGACGCATGCTGTCGTGCGTGCTGTGGGCCCTGGCGCCTGGGCCCACCACGCATTGAGTTTGTGTTTTCAGGCATCCTGACACGTGTGCACCCTGGACTGCGAGATTACGTTCATGTTTCCTGTTGTGCCCGTCGGTCCAGGCACGCGAACACGCGGTCAACCTGCATCGCTCAGGACTCGCTGGTGCGGAGCACGCCTGCGCGCGGCGGTGCCAACCTAGTGGCGCGCGTTTCTTTTTTGCATCCGCGCGTTGTGCAGCGCACGCCAGGGCATCTTTTATGCCCGGTGTTGCGTCGTCGCGTGCGCAGGGCGCGCAGCTTTAAGCATTGCGCTGCGCGACGCATGCTGTGGCATCGTTTATGCCCAGAGGCGCGCTTGCGCCTGCGCAGCGCAGGGCCCTTGCGAAGCCACGCGCCGTGCGGCGCACGCTGTGGCACTGTTTCTGCCCAGTTGCGCACCAGAACGTGCGCAGAGATGCGCAGTCTTTGCGCGCGACCACGCGCTATACGCAGCGCACGTCGGGGCATCTTTAGGCCCAGTTATGCGCCTGCGCGTGCACAGGTTGCCGCACACTTGGCCACGCTTGTGCCCTGCCATGCTCGTCTCCAGCCAGTTCGCCGAGTCTGATGCCACCGACGTTGGTTTTCCTCCAACCAACATTTAGGTCACACTCTGCTTATCAAGTCGCACCACCCTCGTCCACCCAGGCAGCCGCAGAATTGCTTTATCGAACAGCGGCGGTTGAAGCACATGTCAGCCAGCATGGGTCGTGCTACTTCACTGACCGCCGCCGATTAGCTGAGCATATGTCCCCAGTTTGCGGACTTCTTGTGGGCCCAACGCCTGACTCGTCCAACATGTAGTTCCTTGCTGGGTGGCCGTTTGGTGGGAAAGGAGCGCATCTTTCATAGATTCGATGACCTGGTGTCCCCTCGAAGACGGTGCGTCCAGTCAGTTTGTGCCACGAACAATGGTTTAAGTCCGCAGTCGATGCTTGTAGTTGAGTTGGCGCACCACGACCCAGGGGATCGAGCTCCACCATAGCTCGAGGCATCTTTTCCGACCGATTGTCAGGCCCACATTGAACCGAGCGCAAGTTGCTCGCCTTCTGGACACGCGCATGGGTGGACACCTGAAGGACATAGCCGTGGTCCACGCCGGTGACTAGGGGTGAAGTTTCATTGCACGTTTCTTGGGGCTGCTAGTGACACGCATCTTCCTATTTTTTAGTTATTTCGACGGTCTCGTTCTCGACCGACTGATCTGTTCTGAGTACGTTGGGCGGAATTCGGATGGGAAGGGATTTCGACCCTTTCTTCCGTTCGACGGTCGAAGAGGGGGGTGGGATTCAGCCCCTCCCTCCCCTCCGGTCGCCAGTACCCCACGGGCTCCGGTAAACGACGACGATGAGGACCCGGTCACGACGGCGACGATGAGACTGACAACGACAATGAGGACGACCGCGACGGCGACGACGACAACGAGAACGGGACCCGCCCGCCCGTCCGATTTCGCCGCCGACGTCGACGACGTGTTCCGCCCGCCCGACCAACGCCTGGCCCTGGCAAGCGGCGAGAACTAGGACGCGGAAATGGGAGCAGCATTGAACCCCGCTCCGATCGGACGGAAGGTCGGAGAGGAGTGAGAGAGCGTGCAAACACAACGCTCACGTACTTCGGTGTGTCGCGCTGGTGATTCTCTGCCTCTTTATTTTGTTTCCCGAATAGTTCAGCGGCGTTTTTGTTTCCAGTGATTGGCGGTAGCGCTTGTGGTGTTAATCTGCAGCGCCAAAACGCCAAAAATTCCGACATCTCCCCAGTGCAGTTTTTCGTGGCGGATCCACGTTTGCTGGTCCGGGGGCCGACGATGGAAAACGCCCGGTATCTACGCTGCGACGCAAAGGATGCTTTACCCCAGCATCGAGGGGGCAACCAACATCTCAGACCTCAAGGAGGAAGTGTTGCAGAAACACCCCCCCAACACTCCGTGCTGGTGAACACCTCGGGAGAGCGGGTCTGAGACGGAATGGCGGTGGGGGGGCGGGCGAACCAAAAAACGAGCGTTGCTCGTACGCCCTTGCCATGTGTTATGCTGGAGGGCACTTGAAAGCCCGGCATACAACCCTACACCCACGAAGTGGGAGGGGGTATGGAGCCGAAGCGAACCACAAATTGGTATAGAGTTGCACTGCTAGCTAAAAGTGCATCCGCCCTGAACCCACGAAGTGGGAAGGGGGTGATGCCCGAGCAAACCAAAAACTTGGTGCAGGGCGGACTGGGAAGCCAAAAATGCAGGCCCTAAACCCACGAAGTGGGAGAGCCCTGAAACCCATCGAACCGCCCCCAAACGGGGCGACCAATAGGCCCACTGGCAGCGCGGGGTCGTGAGTTCCCGAGCCAAGCACCGCAGCAAAAATGCGAAGCGTGGCCGCCTGCGCCTATCTAGGCCCCATGAGGGCCATTCAT